ATTCATCATGCTGAGTCGAATGGTGATATTTGTTTTTGGATTCAAAATCATCTTACACTGGTTTTTAGGAATTTTCTACATTTCACAGTATCTACCACCATGTATCACACGAGTCCACATTTCGGAAATATTGAAATAATATTGTAAGATTTTTTTGAATCCAAAAACAAATATCACCATTCGACTCAGCATGATGAATTACCCTATCCCAGATGGTTTTCTGGTTGATCCCAGGTCAATTAGCTGAAATCAGGGGTCTCAGGAAAACCCTTATAACTCGTGAACGGAACAAGCTAGAAAGGTCGGCCTTGTGTAGATCGAAAGAGAACAATTTTTTCTACCAAGAGATAAATTAATAGATAGGGTGAAGTTGAGAAATGCCTCTACACAAGGATGCTCAAAATGTCCATCAAAAATGCACCTGATTGGTCCATTACTAACCAATCATATTTTAGCATGGAATGATGTGCCCCAGTCTTCTCTTTCTAACGGCGAAAACCGCACCTCTCCAACTTGTTCCTATCAAACATTATTCAAAAAATACCCAAGTGTCTTTTTTTTTGAAATGGATAATAGTTTGTTTTTTCTTCGAAAGCTCTTTGTGCATATGTTTGTACCATTTCTTCAGCTCTGGCTAGCGTTTGAGTAGCTAGATCTTGAGTTGAAGTTTGTTCTGGTTTAAGTGCTAATTGCTTGAGTATATGATCTATATTCGATAATTGTGGATCGGATATGGTATTCGATGTTTGGAGAGGGTGTGGATTAAGAGAAGAACCATACCCTCACCCATGCGTACATCCACACGCTTCTTAATAATTTTATTTTATTTTATAGTTTATGAACTCATTATATATCTTTGTATTATTCTTCATGTGATTTTAACTTACGTGGTAAAAAAAAAACATTAATTCTTTGCATTTTATTTAAATACAAAAAAAGAAAAAAAAATAGAATGTTTAAGAAATTTCAAAGCACATTAGATCTATTTTTAATCTATTTTAAAAGAAGTATATTGTGATTTTTATTACATATAATAGTATGTAGCTAATTTTCTATGTAATTAAAGTTAATTGGATTGCATGATATTTTTTCAAGAATCTTTATCGTTTTTTCATTTGTGATGAACTTAGTAATTAAGGCTTAATTTGATCATTATGATGACATTCCTTATCACAATTGACAATGACAGACAGTTTTATTAACGATATAGTACGTCAAAACTATGAGAAAGATTGACACAACGTACTAGTTCATACAGAAAACAGTCTGAATAACTCAGTATTACATACTTCGTTGTGTATTTATCGATGTTTATTCTACTTTGGATTGAAATAATAGCGGCATGCATTACGTAAATTAATTTTGGTTTTGTTTTTTTTTCATACTTTTTTTTTGTATTTAGTTACGGTTTGGGTTTTATTGGTAATCTATTATCATTAATTATCTTCTTTTCACAAGACGAATTTCGAAATGTGTCAACTGGTATATTATTTCTCCTTATGACTCTTTCAAATACTATTCATTTATGGACATTAACAACAGAATTTCTTGCTATATTTAATATTTATGCTTATTCAAATGTATTTTTTCAATGTCGACTTAATTATTTTGTACAAAATGTTAGTCGAACAATGAGTACTTATCTAGCTATTGCAATTACATTGGATCGATTAATTCGTTCGGAATTACCAATGCGTTCAAGAATAATATGTACACGTCGAAATGTTATTAAATTAACTTTAATTTATTTAATAGTTTTTTCTATTCTCTATTCATTTTGGTTTTGTCCAATGGTTACATTTAATCCTATAACGAAAACGTGTTATACTGGTCAATCATCAATTTATAGTGATTTTATTACTAATATTTTTATACCAACTCGATTAATTATTGTTTGTATTATTCCAATTATTATAATGAGTTTAGGAAATATTCGTATGTTACTTAATATACGACAATCTCGTCGACGTGTTAATCCAAGAAATCAAATAGATATGACTGTTGTCACAACAAATGCTGCCTTAACAAATGAACGAATGACACCAATTGATCGAATGTTATTTTATATGATGTTAATTAGTGTTGGTGCATTTATTATAACACAAATTCCATTTCATATTTATACACTTGTACGAGTTAATTCTGATACATTGGATTCGTACACTAATTTATTGGTTCGTGCAATACTTTTAATTTGGTCAAGTATTTATTTTGGTATTGG